CAGTCGACCTCCCATACAGTCACCCCTCCTTATAGTCACTGGTTTTGGTCATTCCCGAGGGTGTGACTGTATGGGAGGTCGACTGTAGTCATCTTGCTAAAGCCTTTTTTGATGAGAATTATCCAGAATTCATGGATTGGCCATCCAATAATCCTGACTTAAACCCTATTGAAAACTTATGGGCCATTGTGAAAGGTAATGGATGCCTCAAAATATCAGCGAACTGGATCAATTTACGGTGGAGGAGTGGAGGAATATTCCAGATACTGTTGTAATAAATCTCGTGGGCTCAATGAGACGTCGTTATAAACTTATTGTAGAAAATCATGGAGAGAGAATCTCTTATTAATTGCTGTTAATAAAATCTGTTGGTTCTCAGCTTTTAAATAAGTTATAAATCATGTAATTTGGTCCATTCATTGTGACACAATGAATGAAAAACTTATTCCGGGGGTTTTTTTGACACACTGTATATATTTGAATAACTCATTTTATTTTTATTTTATTTTGCATTATCATTATCATTATGATTCTTGCAATGTGACTACGAGATTAATATATTACTATGAGATCATCCTTACCCCACTTATGTAATTCTGATATTCGCATCTTAAATATTTATCAATATTAGTCGCAGCTGTGTAACAACGGCATGTTCACTAACAGTATCAGCAGTAAGGAAGCAACATTGACCCATAAGCTTCTTATTTCAATACTTCGACTCGATACAAAAAGAAATATCCACCCGAAGTAGAATGAAAACAATTCGTTTGTAGTTTCAGTCAGATGGTATAAATAGTGAGCTAGTCATCAATAGGAAATGTCCCTTTTTTGATTTTTTTATATCAATAAATAAAATGTTCTGTGACATTCTACTATATTTAAACTAAACCATGTTTTACATAATCGGTCGTATATTATATATGAACAACATATTAATTAATAGGGCAGCACTATTTAAGAATGCTCTATCTCAAATAATATACAACTGACCTTAACCAGGTGTAGCTGGGGTGGAATCCTCACGTTTACGTCGTAAATTTTGCTAAGCTAAATTAACCTAGAGATGTATTACTGTACTGGTTTGCAAAAAGTGAACGTATAACAAGCAACATCATATGTTACACGGATCAGATTTTCTTAAGCTTTTACTGTATTAGTATCATGTGACAATGATAAGAAAATTTGCATCACAACGCGTCGATGGAACGCTGGGAATCATCGTTGTAAATGACCAATGGAAACTCCCGTTCCTTCTGTCAATCAGGGTCCATTAACTCACTCGTATACGTATTGTTCACCCAAGCCTCATGATTCGAATATGGGCGAAGCATATGTATTGGGTGTTGACGAAGCAGGAAGAGGCCCCGTTCTTGGTTAGGCCTAGTGATTTTCAAAAAAAAACCAAAAAACTTGGGCAGTGAATTAATAAGCTGTCATTTAATGAAATAGGTCCGATGGTATATGGAGTTTGTTACTGCCCGTTATCTAAATATAAGGAAGTATCTACACTTGGATTTGTAGGTAATTATCAACATCTAGAGATATTGGAGTGTAAGACAAGATGTACGAAACGTTGACGCCTTCTGCTCAATTTGAGAAGAAATTGCTAGAAAAGTAACTTACCGATGAAACAACCAGATTCACTAATTCCTTTAATAAGTTCGATCCTGAAATAAGCATATGCTTGGTACAACTGACTAGTCTTCATTCAGAATCTCATTAGGACAACTATCCGTGAACAACAAGACGTTTGAAATTACTTCGCATTTTACCTGCAGATTGATTTTATTACTATCTATATAGACTCGAAGACTTTAAAGGAGACGGATCGAGAGGCACATTTTACGTTGATCCAGTCGCGTAGTGACATCATTGGATGGAGCGTGCGAGTACTTTCACCTCAAGATATTTCGTGGAACATGCTCAATAAGTAAGTGATGTCATATAAAATGCTTTTTTGAAATAATAGAAGTCTTATAATACTAGGTTTTTTTAGACACAAATACTGTCTGACTTGACGTGCTTGCATATTACTTTTCTTTCAGATCTAAATACAATCTAAACGCCCAAGCGCATGATGCAACGATCAACCTCATTAGAGAAGTCTTGTCAATGGGAATTAATCTTAGAGAGGTACCTATAGTTGGCTTAATACTCTATGAATTGATCACATTGCAAATGGGTACTTAAAATACATCATTTATGTGCCACAGATTTACGTTGATACAGTTGGTCCTCCAGAGTCATATCAGAAGAAGTTATTGACATTATTTCCATCCATTGATGTAACGGTTTCTAAGCAAGCGGACAGCAAATATCCAATTGTTAGTGCTGCAAGCATATGCGCCAAAGTAACCCGGGACCACACTATGAAACGTTGGGCGTTTGTGGAAAAAGTGAACACATCCAGGATATTCGGATCAGGATACCCAAGTGGTAAACAATAATAGCTGCCGATGGTGCTAGCAAGCTCGTCTTCCGTATTAATTCAATCGCATGCTATTAATAGATCCAAATACAATGGCATGGTTGAAATCTAACATTGATTATGTATTCGGATATCCACGCATTATAAGATTCAGTTGGGCAACTTGTGGAACGATATTGGAGAAAGAGGCAGCATTAGTCAAATGGTAAAACAGTCAACGAAAAATATCGCAGACGGTATAAGTCACTAATCCTTACTTCTTTATTCCATATTAACATTTATTCAATCATCCTAAATAGGCCAAGCGATGATAGCAGTAGTCAAGCCATAAACAGCCTATTACAAGGACATGATTACAAACATAAAAGCAAATTTTTCGAAGATATGAAAAGTGTTAATGACTTTTAGAGGTTGCACATACTACAGCGGAATCTAATAATGAATATCAGTCCAATGCATACTTTGTACATGATGAGAAATGATATTACAGAAGACCAGATTAAATGAGAACAAATCACCACAGACCCACAGAGTAATAAGCTTGATTTTACATTAGTAAACGTCCCAGATATATACAATAACATTTCTATTTGTGTGAGTCGCGTTCAGTTTCTTCTGGACAAGAACACCCCGACAACGTAGATCAACATCGCTTCAGCTAAGAGCATTTCTTAGGCGGGACTTTCCTACCAGATCGTTGTCCGAAATTTTTCTCGTAAAAAAAGTTCTGCTAATCAAAAATCACTACGGCAATGGTTATGTCATCGCGATACCTCCTCGACAGAGGTGGAGGAACAGTTAGCAATGTCTTCAAGCTATGCTCATCAGAACCCCCCAAAGCATTCCTGATCAAATGAGTGCCTGTATGTTGATCAACATAAACAGTTTGCTTATCTTCCTTTCGAGAACTCTCATCAATTAATCCAGCGACAAGTGCGACGGCATCTTCAGATGACATTCTGTCCCAGAGACCATCAGTTGCTATAACTAGAAACTTGTCGTCAGGTGTGATTTTGATATATTTTACATCAGGTCTTGCTGTAACATAGGGAGGCGTTTTATATAATGGACCGCCAGGTGGTTCACGCGCTATTGCTGGAAATGCATCATTGACTTTACTCTGAAGATCAAGGTCCCATTTATATCTTGCATCACCAAATGCTCTCGTCGGCATTAGGCCACCAAACACTCTTCCTTTAAAAATAATTTCTTCTCCTGGATGTTCAGCTTGCAATCTCTCTACTTCTCGCAATTCACTCCCATTCATATCGAAGCTCAAGGGCAATGTAGTCCATTTTCCACCTTCTTGTCTTCTACCAAGAACAGCCCGCGAATCTCCGCTGCATGCAATATACAAGTCCTTATTATCCACATCTACGTAAGCCAGTATCGCACAAGACCCTGACAATGCGGTCAAAAGGTCTGAAAAACATTGCTTATCTGCAGGTTTTTTGCCGACTGCTCGCTTTACAGCTTCTATTGAAATCTCACGGTCGAAAGTTACAAACGCTCTTTCAATTGCTCCAATTACTTCTTGGGGTCCATCGGGTGTCGGTAAAATATTTTTGCTGATTTTATCGACTCCTGAATCCACCAACGAGATAAGATCTGATCCCAGCCGTTGCGAACACTGCCAACCAGCGTGTCCGTCGTATAATCCGACATAAAATCGGTTATTTCCGCCGTTAGTGTGATAGATTTTAGCCGTACATACGTCTTCGCAAGGATTGTTGAAACCTATTTGGTTTGTCTCAAGACGCCATTTGGTATTATCGATTGGTTGCGAGGTCTCATTTTTCCTTAAAACCGTTGTAATTTCCTCGCTAGTTTCTGGGGGATTTTCTATCTTATGCCGTTGTCTCTCCCAATAGACATACCAACCAATAGTAGCGAAAGTTGCAGTTAATATTCCATAAGAGATATATGCTGTTTTATTGGCACTAGTCGTATTTTGAGGATTTGCATGAACATGTTTTTCGGATACTTTCGCGCGAACACCAAAACCACCGACTCTGAATGCCAACGATGGTGTGGTGGTTATGGGCCGAGAAATTATCTGCGGGACACGCAACGGCATTGTCTTCAATATTGCCTCTGTTGCACCTTTGAACACTAGCCTGGTGAGCATGCTTAAGAAGAAAGCAATGTGTACCTTTATAACAAAAATCATCGCGAGAGATACAGAAGACATTAAATAATGAAGAGCGAAGCTCGAGGCAAAGAGAATTAAGCGAGAAAAAAGTGATGGAGAACATACTTTATATAATATTTAATATATGGAATGAACAAGAGAGATCTCTCGACGGACAGAATTTTCTTAAAAATGAAAAACGAGGATCAATGAAATGGGTCGCGTGATTTCTATCTTTATTATGGATTTTCAAAATAAACTACATGCTAATATAATGTACACTGATACAAGTGACTGAATATGCCACTTTCATTTTTATATCTCGATACATCTCTTGCTTTAGTAATAAAAACCAATCTTCACCTGATAAATCAAAAAGGAACAGAATCTCCTTAACATCCATTTCTCTTCCCCAGGCAGCTACTGGTTCGAAAACGCTAACTCAATTTGTGGTATTCAACTGAGCCAGAGATACCATCAGAAGACATTACTGTACTCTATAGGGTACAGAGATTAATGGATGTAAAGTACATAGAGAGTCTTAACAAAAGACTTTAGATAGTTACGTCAATAAGGCCAAATATTTGTCTCGTTCTATACACAGTATATTCTATAGCTAGGCACTTGTATACGTGAAGAGGAATCATTGTAATTTTGCCTTGACTAATATACTAATTCTGAAGTCATATCAGACCCACTATACTTAGTTACTTCAGAAATCGGCACGATGAGGAAACGCTCTCGGTGTGGAGGATAACTAGAGTAAGAAGTAAAAGTTCCGAATATGCAGAAGCAATGTATGTAATAGTTCAAGAAAGAGGGAGAGGAGGGAGAGGAAGTATGAGTTTAAGGGATGTAAGTGTCTGTCTTCAAATGGCCATTACTGCATTACTCTTCAATGGCTTATCTGTTTTTAACTCTTTTGAAGTAAAAAAAGGATGTGGTACAACTGCGGGACAGCAGACGACATCAGAACATTAGAAAGTGCTGTCATGACAGCAGGATAATAGCAAACCTAATTAGTCAGCGCCGCTAAAAATAGATTAATTAGTGAGATCGAAAGATATAAAAGTAGCGCAAGTTTTCAGCTAGAGCTCGGGGTGTTTTCGCTTCCTTGATCATTATCATTATTGTGAATAAACTAGTATCGCATTTACTCTGAATACACATATTATTATCTGAGTAGATCGGTATAGTCTAAGTTCGCCAATATTTATATCGACAAAGGGTAATTGCCTCTTGTCCTGTGATTACCCGAGTGGCATTTATTACGATAATTTAATTGTTTTAGAAAGCGCGTTGATATTATTATTCAGTTTTGAGACCCCACACGGACAGATTACTGACGTAATTCCACAGTAGATAGTCCGTGCTTTGACTCGGGACAATTACATTATCTAGGTTTAGCGTGCACTTAATATTAACGACGCTGAGATTATCGTAATAGTAAGTGAAAGCCTTGATCACTAACTGTAAAGTAGATTTAATTATTGATAGGAGAGGCCACGCTCCGCTGACGATAGCTAAATGCCAAGTGTCGATTACTAATCGCTCTTCCGCAGTAGTCGACACGACATACACAAATTTATGTAAATTGCAGTTTTAAATAATATCATCTAAAACTAATATAGGGCTATCTCTATATAAAAATATAATTATGAAATTAATTTATAAATCCACCATGGGACCTAAAAATTACAGCACTATTAGAAGTATTTTAAAAAAGAACAGGATGAAAAAATTGCACCTTATGTTTTTAAAATAAATGATACCAAAATTCTCCAGGAATATCTAGATGAAGAAAAAATTACTCGAAAACAAATCCAGCTGAGTAGACATTTTTTTGGTAAAATTACTTTACTATGAACCAACCATGATATTACGATTAAATTCTTTAACCATTGCAATATTTTGCTCATTTGAAAATCAAAATCGTAAACACATAATCTCTCTCCTCAATGTTAACATCACCACGCTCACCAACAAAAAAGGGTTCAAGCAAAAGGAGGTCCTCAGCTCCACAACCTACAAACTTAAGACCTTATTGGAACGGAAAAGTCGCGGCATGGTCTCAGAAATTGTGGTTACCCATCTGCCGCGACCTCTTCCACTCCCCCCCCCCCCTATCATACTACAAAACTCATGATTTTCGTCAACGAAGCGACCTTCGACGAGCACAAAATTTCCCAAATATCATTGCAATCAAGAAAAGTCGCCCGACAAGAACCCCAAACAAGGAAAAAAGCGCAAAATCAGGACAACAGCAGCACGCAACAAACGACAACACTTGGAAGCTCTCCATCGTATGCTGCCAATCAAAGTAAATATGCTTATAATGCAGTTGTCCGCTGGAGTTGACACCGCCGTTTCTATACCAAAATTCGCATATTGGTCCATCACGACGGGTTTGGATAAAATCTCAACCTATTGAAGATAAGCTTAAGTTTACACGGATGTTCGTGTAAGAAAAGACGTTAATGAGCGTGAGGACAAGAGACTTCAAAAATTATGCGTATGGGATAAACGCAAATTTGTGCGAACTGTCGTGCGTATTGGAATGCTGCTTCAAGGTACATATGGCAAAAAGCGCCTGCAAACATTATCGATGAGGCGATTGATGAAGCATTAGTATTAGCTGCTAGGTATGATTGTTATTTTTCGTTTTTTTTTTTGTTTTGATTGATTGATTTATTTATTCATTTATTCATTTATTTTTGATTTTATTTAGGGATAATTAACCAAAATATAGGATCAACCACGAATCAGCAAAGTTCGTCTTTGTCATTTCGATCTCGAAAAGATTCGCGACAAACGATAATAATTCGTGCGCAAACTTTTTCAAAATCCGTTTTTATATCACCCACCTCCATATCCATCAATGAATAACGTCCGATTGTAAGATCACATATATTTGCAAAACTAATGAATGGAAATTTTCATGGGTTTACGAGACGCAAAAACAACCCAAGCGGATAGTTCTATTCATGCAGTTTCCATCGACCCTGGCGATCTTACACCCTTCACATGGTCCTCTCCTACTAAAGGTGTAAAATTGGCCAATACGACATTGGACGAATTATTCGTCTATACAAGCATGTGGATAATCTTCTTTCTATAAAGGACAAGCTGGCTGCCTCTAGTTCAAAATGTAAGAAGAAACAGGCCTTGTGACTTGATAAGGCAATCTTTCAGATGCGACGAGAAATCAAAGCGAAGTTCATAAAAAGAATGTCGCATTTTTTACTCGCGAATTTGATCCCTCCTTTTGCGGTGTCGAACAATGGTAAATCGAAAAACAAGAAGGATAACACGAAAAACCGTTCGCAAAATGCTCTGTTGGGGCCACTATCGATTTCGCCAACGTCTGGTGGCTAAAGCAGAAGAATTAGGGGTCATGTTATTATCCAAAATGAGGCCTGTAGTTCAAAAACTTGCAGCTGGTGTGGGAGCGTTCAAAAAATAGGAGGGTCCGAGATGTACAAGTAATGGATTGAGATGAAAATGGCGCCCGGGGAATCTTCCTCGGGGCATATCATCTTAGTGTATATGGTGCAAACGGCCAAATTGTTAGAGAAACGCTGAAATTTATGTCGATTATTTATTACCATAATATAATTGTGCGATTTATTGGTCAAAATTCTAACGTTTTAGTTTTCATTGTTGAAGTTGCGAATATCGTGATTACCATTAACGGATTATGCCAAAATCAAATAAACGCACTAGACAATCTCGAGATGCCATCAACAAACGTTGGAAACGAGCAAATATTCTGAAGCAATGCCAACACACACTTTTGGATAGGTGCTTTGATAGTGATAAATTTGTAGATAGAATGCAACTAGAATAATTTGGACTATCGAGACAATGAGCAGCATCCAATTATGTTTCAGTCACACCACCAATCGTATACAGTCAACTGCCTTTAATTCGACCGTCTCCGTTCCGGAGTCATCGGTCGAATTAACTAACGTATAGGTCGAATTAGCGCTTATCCAATCAGAAGCATTTAATACAATACAGAATTTTATCATAACTAATATGGGGGCGGAACCAAAAGTTTGATACCTCGAAAATACCACCCCGAAGATGATTTTTTTTGTAGCATCGGAAATCACATCACGACGTGACATCAGATTTTACAGGCTTTTTATCCAATAGATTGCCGTCGTCATGTAAAAATTTAATAAAATTACATCAGAAAGTATCCGCAAACCACAGGAATAAGACAATATTTTTGTCTATTTTTTTGATAAAGTTTTCCTAAGAGCATTTGAAGTATCAAACTTTAGGTTCCGCCCCATACTGTACAATAAATCTTACACATATCTCCAACTTTATTTTCGGTTGAAATTTACAATCAACCCAACAGAATGAAAACCGTGGCTACAAGCTTATTATTGTAAAAAAAGTTCAATAGACGTTTGTCTAAGTAAAGATAGACGGTGTTGGTAGAAACACTATTGATATTGATACTCATACATTTTTCCGATTGGGTTACAATATTCTGTATGGTTGTTTTTCCTACACGATATTCTCTACCTAGTGCTAAATCGGATAATTGAGGGTTTTTAAGTTTTCGCTGACATATTTGCTGCTTCTGTTCGATAGTTAACGTTGTCTAAGACTTTCTTCTCGATCGGGGCATTTTGAAATGAAATAAATTGTCCATTGCAGCAGCATTCATATAAAGATGTGATCAAATAATCGGAATTTTTATCAATGAAATTAATATTAATATGAAACGAACGGATCCGTCCGGTATAGAGAGATTCCGGTATATACATGTCCGGTATAAACAGAGTTGACTGCATTAAAATCAACATTACGTAACATATCGAGAGCTATTAAACTACGTATTCTTTTGACGTTTGGATATACAGTATATCAGGTATATTATGCGAAGAGTCACGTGAACAATCACATGAAATTTATGTATACGGTGAAGATTTATGATTTTCTCACTATTACAATGTATGTTCGCTCGATTGTACAATCTCTAGTAGCAAGAGCTACTGTCCGAAATGTGAATAATGGAAACAGAGGTAGAATTCCATAAATATGATTTTTGAAATCTAATAGCTGCGTGGCTTAGCAACGGTTTATATATCTGGACTTCACATCCAAAAAAAAATAAATAGTCAAAGCCAAAGCAGGCTGGAAGCTGCTGATATTTGCTTCTGGAATGACTGGTAGCATAGCTTATACTTATTATAATATTACCGACCGAACTCCGGTAAGGGTTATGTTGTATAAGAAGGTGAAGCAACACAACAGATACGAAAATCATTGCTCATGCTAGTGTAGCCCTGATATACTTTCTTATTAATCCAGTTACTAAGCAAAACATATTGCGATGCTCTGTATAGCACTAAGCTTCGTGTATGTATTACATTCATACGTTAAATTCTAGCTCTTTCATTATACGATGCATCACGCTTACATTGTACATTATCTTCCACAGCAAAACTCGAATGAACACCGTGGGTCTACTTCCATGGGTCTTAAAATGGAAAGATACATCAGAGATCTTCAATCAAATATTGTGCGTGAAATCGAAGCTCTTGACGGCAAGAAGTTTCTCGTTGATAGCTGGACTCGTAAGGAAGGTGGAGGGGGGACATCGTGTATCCTTCAAAACGGTAGCGTATTCGAAAAAGCTGGCGTTAATATCTCCGTTGTGCACGGGACGCTGCCAACTGCTGCTGTGATGCAGATGAAGTCAAGGCATAAAGAATTAGATGCAAGTAAACCACAAAAATTCTTTGCTGCTGGAATATCTATTGTTATGCATCCGCACAACCCAATGGTTCCAACAGTGCATATGAACTATCGATATTTTGAACTCAAAGATGAGGAAACAGGGAGAGCTAAGATTTGGTGGTTTGGCGGCGGATCTGATTTAACGCCATCATACTTTTTCGAGGAGGATGCCATCCATTTTCATAAGACACTGAAGTCTGCTTGTGATGAGCATGATAAAGAGTTCTATCCTCGATTCAAGAAATGGTGCGACAAGTATTTTTATCTCCAGCATCGTCAGGAGGCACGCGGTATTGGTGGGATTTTCTTTGACGATCTAGACGATAGACCAGCCGAGAAATTGTTCGAATTCATCAAAGATTGCGGGAATTCATTTCTTCCATCATACGTCCCGTTGGTGAAGAAGAGGATGAACGCGAAGTTTGCTGAGAGTGAGAAGAGGTGGCAACAATTGAGGAGAGGCAGATATGTGGAGTTTAATCTGATATGGGATAGGGGAACTAAATTCGGGTTGCAAACGCCAGGAGCGAGGATTGAGAGTATTCTAATGTCCTTGCCATTGACTGCTCGGTGGGAGTATATGCATTCCCCGGTGGTAGGAAGTAAAGAACAAGCTATATTGGATGTATTAAAAAACCCCAGAGACTGGGCATGAGAATACATGCCTCCTGTAATAAAAGCTATATTTGATATCATTATTACTACATTTTTTATACGGTACGATTATGTTAATTACAGTGTGTTTCAAAGAAAAAATGGTGGTAACAAAAATTATGTCTTTCCACAACAATTAGATAAAGTTAGGCTTTATTAATGGAAAAAAAAAATTATGTAATTCTATTGCGTTGTGTTGTAAAATTGGTTCACGTCTCCGTTTCATAGACGAAATATTATTTTGTACTATTTCTTGAGGAATTTTTTTCCCCTCTTTATCATAAATTGCTTCAATTCATCTACATCTTTGGGCATTCTTTTTCATTGCTCTTCATAATAAACCACTTATTTTCTATTGGATTAAGGTCTATAAAGACAAACTATTAATTGTTGGCGATCTTGAGCAAGTTCTGCTTTTAATTGTTGAGTTTTATTTTGAGCTTCAACAAGTTCCGTTCTAACAAGCTGAAGCTCTCTATTCCTCAAAATTATACTGTTAGGGCCATCGAGTGGATGAGACTCGATAAATTCAATCAAATCCGAATACAAGTCGTTTTCATCTGTTAAGATGATGTTTATCCGGCTGATTCCTTAGCTATCTTTGCTCTATTTATTGCACATTTAGTAAATTTATTTTTAGAACGGGCCATCAAGATCCTGAGAGTAACCTCTTTTTTGGAACTTGATAAAACCCCTTCCAATTTTTGTACATCTTCTGATGCCACTCCTTTACCCCCCTGTAATATAAATAAAAAATTAATTCTGAAATACTATTGAAAGAAATGATGTTGCTAGATAATTACCTTACACTGGTTTATTAAAAAAAAATCCCCTAAACCACCCACTCAAATCAACCCCTTCGTCACCCGGTTCGTGTCTATGAAATAAATGAAGAATGAGTAATTGTATCATCATAGTCAAAAACCATAGAAGAACGTTCACAGCAGCGTACGCCAGGATTGGGTACCTGACTGGCGACTTTCGCAAGCTGCGGCCACGAAGCGCTTCAATTCGAATGATCAATGTATCCAATATTCACCACGCCCGGGCACTCCCTGACGGCTTCGTCGGCAACGGAGAAGAACGTTCACAACCGATAAATTATTATAAGTAATGTTTTAGTGTATCCTATTCACCACGCCCGGGCACTCCCTGACAGCTTCGTCGGATACGGGAATCGATATGTATTTACACCCACCGTGCTTATCGAAACCCGAGTTTACACCCAAGTGGCAGCGTAACTTCAGATACTACATTACGATATAATAATTTACAGATTGTGGCCACGATGCGCTTTCAATTCTCCGACATTTTACACCCTAGTGGCAGCGTACTTCGGATACAATAACCACTCAACAAGATACTCAGTGAAAACTCACCCTGATCGCCACTCCACTTCGTAACCTGCTTCCACAAGGATATCATATATTTTTTTTCGAATGTGTGTCCTTTTTGGGTTGAGCTTGACATGGCTTAAAAAGAAATTGAGTTTTAATATCATAATTTGATTAAATCTAATAAAATGACAAATGTTTTAGACAATGGGATTAATTAAAACAAACGAGTATCTATCCGCTTTTTTATGTACGTTTTTGTCCATTAATTCTCACGACCATGTCTTTCTATTACACCGAGTCTAAGGTTATGATTCGTTTTCAAGACTTCTCCAAACCGTTTATCCATATTGTAACCGAACTTCAACAAGTTTCAACGCAAGTTCTGAACTGTATTAATTTAGTAAGTTGTACATGTAGATTATACCTTTAACGTTAGCGATAAAGTTTGACTGACTGAAAACGTAGAAATGTAGATGATGATTGATAAACATCAGTACAGTCAACTCTCTCTAAATGCACTCTCTCTAAATGCACACTCTCCTTAAATGCACGGTACTTCAGATTCCCAACCTCAGGAATTAGTGATAAATGCACACTCTCCCTATTCTGCACGTGCAACCGATTTCGAAATCCCAAGAGGTCATTCTAATATAAATATAAATTCTGTAAATGCACACACGTGACCCGTCTGCATTAGTAGTTTAGCGGTAGAATACTTGCCTTCCAAGCGAGTAGCCTTAGTTCAACTCCAGCTTATGCAGTTGCCAAACGTGGCATGATTTTTACCAACCCGCATTGTGCTGATCGTTTACATCAAGCCATACATCAGGCCATCCATACATCAGGTAAGATATAAATTACCCCATTCAACACTGCTGGTATCATACAAAAATCATACACCTATCAGTATGGATGCTGACTTGTACAATCTCTCGTGCAATTGAAGATTCAATTTCTGATGAACTGTGCAAAGCACTTGGAAAGCTCGATCTCTCAGATTCAATTGAAGTTGACGAGTTTCTGTCAATTGCTGAAGAAAACGTTGTCTAAAATCTTTAATGAACTTGTAGAATAGGAGAAAGTGACAATAACTTGGAAGATATGGATGATAGTGAAACAACTGTTATCAGTGCTAGTGATGCTTTAAAAAGCTTGGAGATCGAAATTGATATTCTTGAAAGGTATATTAGTGAAAGAAAAGCCAATATGATGCGGCAGACAATATTTTATGCAATGTGAAAATAATAAATTACAATAAACGTATTAATTTTATCACGTGATTTACTAGTAAAATGCACACACATATTAATATATCATTTAGACTGTAGTTACACAATGTGTGTAATGTGATCTTCATGATCTTCACATGATTACAAGCCACAGATTATGACCAATCGAGTTTATTGACTTCTAAGGTAGAAAAGAGGGTAGCTATAGATTTTGGAGATGTAATGGAAGAGGAGGTATAGGTATTATAGGAGTGGGAAGAGGAGGAGGAGAGAGGAGAGAAGAGATGCGAGCTATAGAAGGCCAAGCAAGGGACCTTAGGAGAAGAGGATGATATGATTTAATTGGTTATAAATTGTACAACATACATAAATATACCCCTCTATAGTCATGCTGTTGAGAACAATGCAACTTTTGCTGGAAGTGTGCTTATAAAGAGGTTGTGACTATATAAAGGGTTTTTTCTATAAGTTTAATGGTAATTGGTTCTCAACATGGTGTGCTTATAAAGAGGTTTTTTATATGTGTGCTTATAGAGGGGGCGACTATAGAGGGGTACGACTGTAAATATAAATACTTCAAGTTTTCATTTATAATAATGTCCACCTTGTAAGACTTCTAAATTACTTCCTTATAGAAATTGACAATATAAATAATCAAAAAAAATTTTTTTTTTTATTATTATTATTAATTAGTAAACGAAGTAAAGCCTCCTAATTTCCCGACAGATATAACAAATCGGTAGCCGGCAGGCTTAACAACCTTTCTATTTTGTGAGCAACATCTTTCATAACTGGCAACATGTCACTTCATTCTTGTTAGTTGAGTGCTCGTGCAGTGTTGACATGTACATGTCGTTTACTGGTTAAAACAGATGTGCCTTAGAATTAGGTCATAAGAAAAGATACTAATACTTCCTCCTAGATCTGATACTCATGATTTAAGTATTCCATCCCGATGAGATGAGCTCACAGAGAAAGCAATCTTTTTTTCAATCGTAATATCATGGTTGGTTCATAGTAAAGTAATTTTACAAAAAAAAAAGTCTACTCAACAAATGGCTATTGGATTTGTTTTCGTTTCTTTCTTGGTTCATTGTGTGTTGGCGTTAATGCATGTTTATTGTTTATTATCTTTCGTTCTTCTTGATAAATTTCAAAAGTAAATTTTTCTTCATCTATAGATATTCCTGGAGAATTTTGGTATCATTTATTTTAAAAACGTAAGGTGCAATTTTTTCACCTGTTCTTTTTTAAAATACTTCTAATAGTGCTGTAATTTTTAGGTTCCATGGTGGATTTATAGTTTGATTCCACATCCCATTATTTAACGACAGATGTGAGAATATTGCGCATAATCATTATCAACAATATATCGACATCTGTATTTTTGCAACAATATTTCTGTTCTGACCCAAATCGCAATCTGACCCAATTCGAAATCGGGTCGACCCAAATCAAAATAAGCTCCGAGTGATATTT